TTTGGTTTTCAAGACGCAAGGACTCAGCCTGGTTTTGAAGCCCAATTACTGGAGATTTGCTGGTGCTAAGAAGCGCTCTGTGTCCTTGACCTTGCTCCAGTTTCCCAGCTCTGACTCCAAGGAGAGGAAGTGTCTGGACTACGACTGGCAGAGAGGAATGTTTGAAGAGTTTCCTTACAGGCTCTCTTTATCCCCTTTGAAAAAGGCCAAACAGCGCCCATGTCACCAAGTTATGTTCTGCCTGTATGCAAATTTCTTATTTTAAAAAAACGTAATCTATGTAATCTTCCTTGATCTTTATGTCTAGCCTGTATTTTATAACACGGACAAAATGAGCACTTGGCTCTGCAGTTAAGTTGCTGCTTGGGTTGCCCACATCCTATATCAGAGTCCTTAAGTTTATGTCCCTGCTCCTCTACTTCCAGTCCAACTTCATACTCCACACATCTAGGGAGGCTGCTGGAGATGGGACCCTGCTACTCACATGGAAGACCAGGTTGAAGGTCTTGGCTCCTGCTTCAGCTTGGCCCAGTCTTGGCTACTGTGGGTACGTGGAGAGTGAAAACGCTGATGGACTGTTTCTCTCTCTCCCTCCTTCCCTCCCCCCATCCCTTTCAAATAAAATGAAAATAAACAAAAATTTAAAAAGAAAGTATCAATAAAACTTGGCATCTCCGGGTGCAGCCACTTCTCTAAATTTAGAAATAATTAGACAGGAGCTTTGGCTCAGGATTTCTCACCCTCCATTACAGCTCACCTTTCACCAAAGCTAAGAAACTGTTGACAAGGGCAATCTGGGCTACACCGAGGCTCTCTGGCGGTTCCCGGTGGGTCGCCTCGCACCCACCCCAGCCCTAGTAGCAGATCTAACAGCTGTGGTAAGAACATGGTCAGAACCTTTCCAGATCCCCCTCCAGGGTCCTCCATTCCCAGAAGAGGAGCCTCCCCTTTTCCTGCACATTCCGAGCCCAGGCGACTGCACATCCTCAACCCTGGTCTCTCTCTCTATTCCGTCTTTCTGCATCTTCTCTCCAGCAGTGGGTACTGTAGAGCTGCCTCAACTTGGCCCAGCAATGTTCCGCCTCTCCATGTCAGGGATCAGGGGCTCCATCTTATCATGACCTTCCCTCTTGGCAACCTCTCCTCCTGCTGACTGTACCCTTTATTTACAAAGGAACTCGAGCTCTCCTGATCCACAACCTCCACTTACCCACTCACCAGCCTCTTAAGAAGATTCTAAGGTTCATAGACCCTTATTCCTCCAGAACATTAGAGCTGGCAAGAAACGTGTAGAGCCCTGCTGTAAATAATTCATTGCGTCAATAAAGGGAAATCTCATGCCCCCTTTTCAGTCTTTCCTCCGTGCCTACAATTTTAAAGTCTGTTCACTCAAACGTAACAAATGACTCAGAACTTCTCCTTAGTCTTTATCTTTTCTGACTTTGCTATTTTTGGGTACATTTTTCTTCCCAGATAAATTGCTTCCCATCAACCATGCAGGCCCACACATTTTTTTGAGTTAGTCATTTGGGGTGATCTCAGATCCATGTAACCATCACCTCCTTTCCCAAAAAATGCTTTGACCCAAATTGCAAGAACTTTCCTTGGTTCTCCCTTCTTCTCATTCTTAACTGGAAAATAACATGAAATTCTGTCTCTTCCACGAGGAGTCTTCAAGAAGTTCATGAAAATGCAAATTATGAAAAAACTTGGCATAGATTTCAAAAATTTTTTGCACAACAAGAAATTTATCTTTCCATTTAATTTTAGTTCGCTCTGTTGGTTCACTCCCCGAATGGTTACAACAGCCAGGGCTGGGCCAGGCTGAAGCCAGGAGCCTGGAACTACATCAGGGTCTCCCATGTGATTGGCAGGATCCCAAGCACTTGGGCCATCTTCCACTGCTTTCCCAGGTGCATTAGCAGGGAGCTGGATCAGAAGTGCAGCAGCCAGGACTTGAACCAGCACCCAGATAGATGCCAGCATTGCAGACAGCAGTTTAACCTGCTGCACCACAATGCCAGTTCCTCCATAAACTTTTTGAAGTCCCTTGATATTGCCCTTCACAGATTGCTGCAATAGGCTGCTACAGAAGATCTCTAGGGACCAGCGCTGTGGCTCAATGGGTTAATCCTCCGCCTGCAGCGCTGGCATCCCATATGGTCGCCGGTTCTAGTCCCAGCAGCTTCTCTTCCCATCCAGCTCTCTGCTATGCCTGAGAAGGCAGTGGAGGATGGCTCAAGTCCTTGGGCCCCTGCACCTGCATGGGAGACCCGGAGGAGGCTCCTGGCTCCTGGCTTCGGATCGGTGCAGCTCCAGCCATTGCGGCCTATTGGGGAGTGAACCAGCAGACGGAAGACCTCTCTCTCTCTCTCTCTCTCTCTCTCACTGTCTGTAACTCTGCCTCTCAAATAAATAAATAAAATCTTTTTTTAAAAAAATAGATCTCCAAAGGCGTTTGCTGTCCTTTTCAATCCATGCTATATTGTCATGCCTCAGTAATTTTCTTCAAATGAAACTCTGATATGGCCATGTTATCCTTAAAACTGTACTTAAGCTTATAACTTCTGCCCCCAACTCAGTTGCCAGGGAAATAAACTAAGATGACTGTACCATTCAAAGCTCTTCGGAATCTGGTCCCAATATTATTGCAGATTCATCATTCACTACTTTTCTTGAACCTTCAATCATCATCAAAATGGAACATTGGAAGCTCTAACGATACATCCATGCCTCCTGCCCCTGTGCCATGCTGACTTCTGTTATGGTTTTCTCTAGACTCCCATCACTGTCTCTGCTAACTAAAGGGCTCATAATCCAACCGGGTGAAGCCCATGGGAAGCCTGCAGGTGGTCCCTCCTGATCGCTCCAATCAGAAAAGAGTTCTCTTTGTGAAAATCACAAAGCACCGCTTGTTTCTGCTGATGTCACCTAGGATGTTCCGCTTTGTCGTAGAAACACTTCAGTGTTTGTATTATCCTTTCCCTGTGAGTAAATTATCTGAGGCTGAAAACTGTCAGATTTTGAATTTTCCAGAATTGTTAGCGTAGTGTCCTCTGTTTCAATGTCCCACCCTAGTGTTAGGTGTGGTCCCATAGGTTATAGAAAACTCAGCAGGTCTTAGACTAAACTCCCTCCTCACACCCCCGCCCAATCCCTCATTAAACCTTTTCTTTTCACAAAATTCCCTAGGCTGGGCTAATGGCTCCACCAGTGACTGGGTAATCCAATCCAGAAATCTGGAAATCTTCTTAAATTTCTCGCCTTCCAGCGTAATTCCCACCAATCATTCACATTGATAAACAAGGCTTGATACTCTCTTCTAAATTCCTTGTAAATCTCTCACTTTTTTTCCATCACCACTGCCACTGCCTGAGGTCAATCCTCAATATTTCTCATCTGAGTCGTTTGCCGTAATCTGGTGGTTACCTTTGACTTCTCCTGTGTCACCTTTCTGCATGCTGTTACCCTAGGTAACAAAACGGCGAATTTATTCCGTCTTCTTTACATCTCCCTGGACTTCCTATAACCTACAGAAGGCTGTCCAAACACTGTGTATGCTTTCCAAAGGCCCTAGCCATCCGGCCCCGGCTTCCTCTCCGTCTTGTTTTACACCACCGATTTACAGACATCACACAAATGCAGCAAAAGCTTGGGTGCCATTCTCCCTTGCTTCAGTGAATCTTACTCATTCTTCAACATTCAGCTCCATCCTCTTGCTAGTAAATGTTATAAAGCAAGAGGTGCCTTCGCTTTGTCAAATCACGTGATCACTCTAAGCTTATTTGTCTATTTGCACCCAAAGGCTGGGAATCCTTGCAAGTCTGGACTGTTATCAGATTTTTGGTTCATTTCATAGAGCCTCATGATGTGTCTAGAGTGTATAGTTTGTACACTGAAAATGTATGAATTGATTAATTATCACCATTCATTCACTTGGCTCTGATTTATATCAAGCCACATTTATTTATATTTCCAATTGTATAACTTTAAAAGTTTATAAGGCTAAGTACTACAGTCTTTAACCTTACATATTTGAGCTAAAAGGAAAACAAATAAATTACAAATGCAAATTTCAAGAAAATTCTGGAGACAGAGCCCAGAGCCAGGACAATTGTGACAGCGGAGCAACAAAGAGGAAGAAGTTGAATACTATTAACCTGATTCTTTGTGTGCTAAATTCACTGGTGTTTATTCTATGAGTGATTAATTATGCTTTTTAAAAATATGGCCAGTCATAATCTAATAATAATAATAATGTATCAGAAACCAAGGATTGTGATTAATCTTATGGGAAAAGTGAAACCACAGAGTATCAGGTTTAGTTTTTCATTAGCAAAACAACTAGAACAGTTGTTTTATCATTTAGATCCTGAGTTATCACACTTTCATAAAAAGTGATGTTTGGTAGGCAGACGATCCTTTTTGATCTGAAGTACATGTGAAAAAAATTACAAAAGGACAAAGGACAGTACAAGCACTTCCAGTATGATAACGTAGACAAATATATTTAGCCTTATATTCAAATTAGTTAGCAGAGCCTTCCTCCCAACATATATCTCTTCCCTTTGGAAAAAGCAATTGTAGAAAACCACAAGTATGCTCATCAAGCACTATGGAGTGACTGCCCTGTACAGAAGGCATTGGACACTGCATACTTGGGCAAAACTGAAGAGACCACCATTTGCAGAAATAATCCTCTCCTCTACCCACTTCATGGAGAAATCTGAAAAGCTTGTGAACATTTCTTTATATCAATTTAGTAGAATATATAACTTACGCCACTTCATTTTCCAGGAAGTGAAATCCATTTCTTACATTCTAACACAGAGGTTGATATTTTATAAGCCTAACTATAGAATGATCCCTTAGAAAGTAAGTTCTAGTTGCAATAATAGCAATTTGATCCCAAATTTATATTTATAATGCTTTATTTATTTAGCAGTTTATAAGGGGACATTGTATAATTTTATTTGAAATGGATTAATAACTCCTGTTCATTATATATTAAAAATATGGTCCAATATTATATAAATTAAATTGCAAGTTCTAAGTTATTTATTCTTGGAATTTCATAACAAAATTTTATAGGCCTTTTTGTGAGACTTACACACTCTTCATCCACTATTTGCTAGATCATCTACAAGAAACAAAAAACGAAGGTAGGTATTTAGTCTAGCAGTTAAGAAATTAGTTAAGACATTCACATCCCATATCAAAGTATGCAGTTTCAATACCTGGCTTCAGCCCCTAATTCCAGCTTATTACTAATGTAGATTCTTAGTGGAAGCAATAATGACTGGAGTCACTGGGTCTCTGCCACCCACATGGGAAACCTAGATTGAACGCCCAGCTTCCGGGTTTGGCCTGAACTGACTCTTGCCATTGCACTCCCATATGCATGCTTCTCTCTCTCTCTCTTTCTCTCTCTCTTTCTCAAATAAACATTTAAAAAAAAAAAAAAACTTGATTCAAAATTCGTATCAAGTAACAGTAGAATGAAATATATATGCTTTTGAAGAGAAGTACAGAAAAGTACAAAGAAAACTTGTTTTAGATTGTATACAAGCAATACTACCACTGGGTGCATATTGGAAGTATTAACTAAGTCATGTCTAGTATAATAAATAGCATACCTGAGTTTGGAGTTTGGCTCATTTCTTTCTGTAAGGAAAATAATTGTGGATATGAAGACAAAGTTGAAAGGTGAGATGAAGATTAAGGTAAATTTAAAACTGATTCCTTTTGTTTTCATTTTACTATCATTTAACACGTGTTTCAAAATTACCCTGTGATTCATAATGGCGTACTTTGGGGTGGGAGGAATCCATGCTTAATGGCTGAAAAACTACCGCATACATAATATTACTCAGAAGTGGCATGTGTGGTCTGAGCCATCTGAGTCACCAAAACTTCCTAGAAGGAAAAGAAAACCAAAAAGGAAAAGAGAGGCCAACGCCAGGGTTTAGCAGGTGAAGCCGCCGCCTGCAGTGCTGGCATCCCATATAGACGCCGGTTCGAGTCCCAGCTGCTCCACTTCCAATCCAGCTCTCTGCTATGGTCTGGGAAAGCAGTAGAAGATGGCACAAGTGCTTGAGCCCCTGCACCCATGTGGCAGACCCAGAAGCAGCTCCTGGCTTCTGGCTTTGGATCAGCGCAGCTCTGGCCGTTGTGGCCATCTAGAGAGTGAACCAGTGGTTGGAAGACCTCTCTCTCTCTCTCTCTCTCTCTCTCTCTCTCTCTCTCTCCCTCTCCCCCTCTCTGCTTCTCTCTCTCTGCCTCTGCCTCTCTGTAACTTTGCCTTTCAAATAAATAAATAAATATTTACAAAAAAAAAAAAAAAAAGGAATGATAGTTTCATTGTGTGGATAAACCTGCAAGATTTCAGTGATTTCTCATAATGGAAAGGCAGTGAGTAAAGCAGAGGAAAATGAGAGTTTTAGCAGAAAGGACTTAGCATAAAACTTCAAAGAGATTTTCCATAATGTCTGTGATCCTGGTTATAAAAAGAAAAGAAAAAAGAAAATATCCATCCACGTTAAATCTGAAACAAATGGCCATTTGTGTGGTACAAAAACCCTTTGTCCAAGCGGGAGGGTCAAGCCTTAGTAAAGCAGATAACAACTCCCTCCTTAGGACACAAAGACAAAGTGGATTCCATGTGTGCATTTCCTGATGTCAAGTCTAGAACAGCTGAGCTTTCTTACTGTAACTCTTCTGTGTTTTCAGTTTTGCAAACTGAACATCCCTATACCTCCGTTATGTTTCTTTCCTAACCATAATGCATCACTGATTCTTAAAACACTGGGAGATGAGAGAAGATAATTTGTTTTCCCTCAGTACCCTGCTGGGCTTCTGGCCAAAAAAAAAGGAGGGGGGGAGGAATCGATTTATATGGAGTCAGCTATTATTTTAAATGTGAAAGGATAATTCTGTGCATTTTTATTTTCACTTTATATTTTCAAAGTGTGGCATATATATTAAATCGTTTAATCATCTCAACAACATGGCAATGGCGCTTTGTATGTGACAAGTAAAATCTAAAAAAAAAAAAATGATGACTGCCTTAGCAACTTGAAGGAGTCACAGAGACGGGGCCTCTGCTTTCAGGTTTTCTGGCTGATTCTAAATCTCATTTATCTACTATTGGGATCATTTGGACCAAAAACCTACCACTGCAATTAAAGACAAGTACTGGGCATTCCCGCCTGGCATCATCTTTGTTCATCTTGCGACTCTCAGTGTCATGGAACATGCAGACCAGTCTCTAGGTATCTCTATTCTGACACTGGTTATCAAATGATCATGCAACTGTAGAATTACAGAGATATCAGATATTGGCCATGGAAAATGAAAGGCAAAATCAAGTCACAATGCCCTTAATTTACTTTGCGATATCTCAGTGTCAGCAATGTGATACAATGCATACATATTGAAGCCAACACTCACGTGCAGATTTTAGGAGTAATTAACTGACCTGCCAATCAAGAATACACTGTATTGATGCAGGTAATCTGCTGCATGCTACCCTAGAAAGGGTTATACATTACAAGTGGCTCACATAGCTTTACTGAAATGTCTGTCTTTGATCAATAGCCAATGTTTTGCTAATAGGTTACTAGAAACCTAAAGTGAGTTTGTAGTTGTAAAACTAGAGACATACCTTATTATTTTGAGTGGTTGAATGGGGCTTTAGTTGGCAAAATTAGAGGTAACCAAGACTTACAGACTGTTTTTATTAATTTCTCATTGTATCACAAAGAAGATCCAAAGAGTTCTTCCAAGATGTAAATTCTCTGGTTCTATTCCATACTTATTGTGTAAGAATCTCCATTTTAACAAGATTCTCAGGTGATTCACATACATAAATTTAAAAGAACTCCCCACATTTTATGAGCAAATTAAATTGAACTCTAGTAAGGCCTGTTAATATATTTTTAGGAATAATGCCTTAAGCTGACCCTAGGGGGCCTGTCTATCCAGTCATGTCTTTGGACTTTGTTGGCCAAAAAAAATGACATAATGTTCCTCTGGAATTTTTCATTTGCTTGGAATAAAGCTTCCATTCAAAGTATTTATCACCATACATAACAAGATGAAAAGCTTTGATTCCTCGAACTTATATATACATGTAAATCGATTCTACATGCAAGATAGATGTATTACCTTATGCATCTTGTCTCCATGTAACTACTAATAACTCCCCATTATTTAGATGATAAACTATGTGCTCACACTAGGAGAAAGTCATATGAATTTTTAATTTTGTGCTTGCTTATTAATAATAGATTCTCACATAGAGACCGTTTGCAGGGTAAGAGATGGGAAATTTTCCTTTTGGAAGCTTATAGCATCTATGACGTCTCAAGGTTATCTGCTTATTCTATCATCCTAATATGCCATCTAACCCTAAAATAATTATCATGTACAATGAAAATGGTATTGATAAATTGAGCACTACCAGATAAATCAAACACAATTTCAAACCCAGAGCGTGCAACCCATTTACTCAGTCTCTACTTCTCTATAAAATGTTTTATCACTTCAAAAAATAAAAGGATTGGAAGATGCTCCAATTTTAAAATGAAAGTTCAGGGGCCAGCATTTGATACAGCAGTTAGGATAATGTGTTGAAAGCTTGCATCCCATACCCAAATGCTTGACTTGAGTCTTTGTTCCCTACTCCCAGTTCCAGTCCTGCTAAGATAGAGAGGCAGCAAGTGATGGTTTAAGCACATGGGTCTCTACCACTTACACGGGAGACCTGATTTCTCCTAATTTCAGCCTGTCCCAGACCTGGCTGTCAGGGGTATTTGGGAAATGAACTAACAGATGGAAAATCAATCTCTCTTATTGACGTAGAAGTATATCAAGACCATTTTTTAAAAACCCTTAATACAAAAATTTAATCAAAACATATTAATATTAAAATCCAGGAAATATAATTTTATCCAGCCACATCTATGGTAATATTCAATCAACCACCAGAATCACTAACATTTTAGCCAGTGTTTTAAAATTTTAGTCAATGTTTTAAATTCCTGTCATAATCTCTTATATAATTGACAGTGAAAATGATGGAATTTTAATGCTTTCTAAGTGCCAAAAATTCTACTGTATCATGTAAATCAAAATGCATTTGTAACAATATAATTCAAGGCCATCATTCAGTTCTAAGTTACTGTTTTCTGAAAGTAAATAAAAAGGCAAGGAACTCTCATTTAAATAGATGATAGATCTGTGGTACCATTTGGCCATGATAAGTTTTCTTGGTACATCCTTGTTACCATAATGGTTACAGATCTTATGAACATAACATTTGTGGTAACCAGTTTACAACTGAGAATGGAAAGATGCATTTTCAGGATCATAAATAAAGCTAAATACCCTCTTATTCGAGGGAAGGGCTATCCCAAACCTGACCAACTCGACAAGAACCCCAATTACCTAAGACATTTCTTACGAGTGTGCAGGCCAACATGTGATTACACTACAGATGTGGAAGCAGAGCACTGAGCACTTGCTATCTCTTTCAGACAAAGTCTTTCATTCTCAGAACATTTGAACTCTTCTTATATTAAATGGAGCAAATCAACTTGACCATAAAGAAATAAGCCAGAAATATATTTGTCAAGAGTTTACCAAAAACAAAATGATAAATTGGTGAAGTATTGTGCTAATGGAACTCAGAATGTCAACAAAAAGATCATTCTTTCTGAGAATACCAATAAATCAAAAAGTAAAGCCTACAACACTCTCAGTTACAATGTTACAGATGAATAAAATGTAAATAAACAATCAGCTTCTGACTCTAGCCCAGGGTACACTCAGCACTGAAGAGATCTACGTTAGTTTCTAATGGGAGTCTAAAACGCACTGGGTTTAAATTTGAGCAGGTCACTGATACATGTTTAAGCATGGTGAAATGTAACCATGAAATGTCACAAAACAAATCTGTCTAGGCAATTCAATAGCCACAGCAAAACCTAGGGAGAATGTAGTGTGGACAATGAAGAACTGAAAATATAATCATTGAATCTCAGCTTCTTTGCCTTTAGAGCAAATGATACAGAGTTGGGGTCTGAAAATTGAATCACAGCCTACTGGTTATCATTTCCATTATAACTGCCATGTCAAATGTATTAAAGATTAAGTGGTTAAAATTGGCTTCTAAATTCCCAGTCTTTAAGTGTAAACAGGGGCCCAATGCCAGCATCCTATTTGAATGCTGGTTTGAGTACAGGCTGACACAGGATTCCGATGACTGGAGTTCTTTGCCCAGGAGGCCCACGTGGGAGACCCTGGTGGAGTTCCGGGTTCCTGGCTTCTGTCTGGCCTAGGTCTGGCTGTTACAGACATTTGGGGAGTGAATCAGTAGATGGAAGATCTCCGTCTCTCCCCCTCTCTGTCTTTGAATTAAATAATAAACTCTGCCTTTCAAACAAATAAATAAATCATTTTTAAAATAATAAAGATTTGGGACCTGCACTATGGCTCAGTGGGTTAACGCCCTGGCCTGAAGCGCCAGCATCCCATATGGACGCCAGTTGTTCAGGACCCAGCTGCTCCACTTCCAATCCAGCTCTCTGCAATGGCCTGGGAAATCAGTCCAGGTTGGCCCAAGTGCCAAGTGCTATGGCCTGGGAAAGCAGTAGAAGATGGCCCAAGTCCTTGGACCCCTGCACCCATGTGGGAGACCTGGAAGAAGCTCCTGGCTTCAGATCAGCACAGCTCCGGCCTTTGCAGCCAACTGGGGAGTGAACCAGCGGATGGAAGACCTCTCTCTCTCCCCCTCTCTCTCTGCCTCTCCTTCTCTCTATGTGTAACTCTGACTTTCAAATAAATAAATAAATCTTTAAGAAAAGAAAAAAAAATGTAGAAAATTGAATTAAATTTTTTTTTAAAAACGTATAAATCTTTTTACTTCTCAATTTAGCAAAATGAAATGAATGGACATCAAAAATTTGTGTTTGGTACCCAGAAGAAATGAATGCTCTGGAGAGTGAAATAAACCAGGAGGTAGGAGATACAAAAGGAGTCACACCTATATCTGGCAAGTTTTGTTCTGTTCTGAACCAATGGGAGTCCCCTGACTATTGTAGGTCCTAGCTCAGGCATAAACAGGTCATGTGAGCCTAAGCAAGCTATTCACTCTCCCTGAGCCTCAGATAGTTCATCTGCAATCTGGCATAATATGAGGAGGCATATTTTGCATATTTAATTCCATCAGAGATTTAAAACACTGCCTTACACAGAGAACTACTTAATGAGTATTATTAGTGATTCCGATCTGTAGTGTACTTGTTTTGTTACACAAAGATTTTTTTCTTAAGTTTGTTTATTTAGTGTAAAGGCAGAATGACAGAGAGAGAGGGAGAGATCTTCCATCCACTAGTTCACTCCCCAAATGGCTGCAATGGCCGGGGCGGGGTCAGACCGAAGCCAGAAGCCCGAAACCCATCTGGATCTCTCACATGGGTGGCAGATGCCCAAGTATGTAGGCCATAATCTGCTGCCTTCCTAGGCACATTAGCAGGAAGCTGAATTTGAAGCAGAGCAGCTGGGATTGGAACTGGCCTTTTGCCATGGGATGACAGCATCACAAACAGGAGTTTAACTCACTGTTCCACAACACTGGTCCTAAGATAAATACATTTATATCAAGTTAGAGATTAAGTTACCCCTTCCTTCCACATTTGCAACTGGGTAGATTTGATTACTTACGGAGTTGGTAAACTTACAAGAATCTCCATTCTTCTAGTGAATAACAAGGTAGTTATCTCTAAATGTTGCATCTTACTCAATTCTGCATTGCTGATGGAGTTTCTAAGGTATGTTCACCTCAATTTGTCTATTTTAAAGAGAAATGTATGTATTTGCAAGGAAACTCCAAGGTAATACATAAAGCCATAGAAAAACTATAACATATCTATGTGCAAGTTGAACTATGTAAGAAAAATTGGGGGGATATAAAAAATAAATAACAATATAAGCAAACAGAACTATGAGCACAGCATAGTAAAACTTATGTAATGCAGAAAAAGTAGTACGCAGAGGAATTATATAGTTATACATATCTACATTTAAAAAGAATAATGATCACAAATACGTACTCTATAGCCTTACACCCCCAAGGAACTGTAATAAGAACAAACTAAGCCCAAAATTAGCAGAATGAAAGAAATAATAAAAGATTAGGGCAGAGATAAGAAAATAAAGATCAAGAAAAAAATAGAAAAGTTCAAAGAAAGTCAGAGTTGGATTTTTATTAGATTAACAGAATTAAGAAATCTTTAGCTAGATTAAGAAAACAAGAGAGATGACTCGAATTAATTGTCACCAATGGGAGAGGAGACATAACAACCAAAGCTCCCCAGACACAAAGAATCATAAGAGGCTTCAGTGAATAGCTATTCCCTAACAAATTGGATAGCCCTGAGAGAAACAGATAAATTCCTGGAAATACACAATCTGCCAAGGCTGAATCAAAAGGGATAGAAATTTTGAACAGAGTAATGACCAGTGAGGAGATTGAAATAGGGATCGAAAACCTCCCCGTAAAGAAAAGGCCAGGAATTCAGTCTTTACTAGTGAAATCCACCCAACTTGTAGAGAATCATTGCCTATCTGTCTCAAGCTCTTGCATAAAATTGAAGAGGAGGGAACACGTCCAATATAATTTTATGAATTAGCACTTGATACCAAATCCAAAGACACCACAAGAACTTAAACCTAAAGGCCAATATCCCTGATGAACATTAATACAAAAATCCTCAACAAAATGCTAGCAAA